CTTCTCATCCTCCTGCCTCCATCTCCTGCATTCTGAGATTGCTTTGGTTCTCTGTCCCTCCAGGTTTATGTGGTGCTAGGGAATCAAACTCTGGGCTTGGTGCGCACCAAGCAAGCACTCTACAAATGGAGGCACATCCCTAGTCTTGCATAGCTTAATGCTAAGCTTCTGCAGTCCACGGCAGTGTTTGCACACCTTCGGTGCTCAATTAACATTTATTGAAAGGATGAATAAATTATGGACAGCAGTAAACTTATTTTTGTTTGTTTGTTGAGACAGGGTTTCTCTGTGTAGCCCTGACTGTCCTGGAACTTGCTTCTGTAGAACAGGCTGGGCTACCAATAAACTTCTAATGTATCAACAGGACAAAACACAGCCAGGGTCATCATTATCCCCCTTCCTTCAGAAACGCAGTTTTCCTACCTACCCATCAATCAGCTCACTCAAACTTCAGTCAACAGCCCTGTGAACCTTCTCTGGGCTACATGATAACTGAGCTTACTCCTATCCCATCCCACTACTAGCTGGCTTGGTTCTCTAAGCCTCCTGTTTCCTTTGCTGCTTTCTTTACCCCGACCACATGTCCTGAGTTCACGGACTTTGCTATTTCTATTCATGCATGAGTGTGGGCCTCCTGACTCATCTGCTTCCTTTTCTGTTTTTTAGCTAAGCAGTTTTAAAATGTGTCTATGCACATGTGCCGTTAGGTCCTCTGAGAAGCTAATATACTGTGGGTCATCTTCCTCCCAGAACATGGTACACCGAAACATAGCACTTCGCATAGACATTCATGTGTTCCTGGAGTCAGAGCCCCTCCTCTGGGGGAGATGTCTCTCTTGCTCCCCCACCCCCTATCTTTTGCTGACTCTCCAGATGGTCTACCTCAGCTCCTTTCAGAAGCCAGAAGTTTCTTCTTCTCATATTATCCACACTTATTATTTATTTACAGCAAACTACAGGATTTATACAATATTTTGTTTTTTAGATGGGATTCTCGCTCTGCCGCTCAAGCTGGCTGTGCACTTTTGGACTCAAGCAATCCTCCTGTCTCAGCCTCCTGAGTAGCTGTGCACCTGGCTGTGCCCAGCTGTTCATATTGTATGCATCAGTTGACTTCATACTCACAGTGACCCCAAGAGGAAGGAACTATTACAGTCCCAACCTTCCAGATGAGAGAACCGCCGAGGTACATGCTTTGCCAGTGCCTTAGAGTTCCAAGTCAAGACTTTCTTTCTTCTGTGCAAAGGTTGTAGCTCATTGACTGCTGTTTTCTTTGACTTCCCAATTCTACTACCTGAAGCCCACCTTCCCCCTACCCTATGCTGCCCTCACCTTATGACATACTGCTAGTTATTCTTTTTTTTAATTTTATTTATTTATTATGTATACAGTCTTCTGCCTGCATGCATATCTCATTCAAGGCGGTTGTGAGCCACCATGTGGTTGCTGGGTATTGAACTCAGGACCTCTGGAAGAACAGTCAGTGCTCTTAACTGCTGAGCCATCTCTCCAGCCCTGGTTGTTATTCTTAATGGCTGTTACCTTTGATTGCCCCCATCTCCACCTGAAATCGACCGTCTTTAGAGTCCCCACTGCTCTAGCACCCTTTCTACCCCAGCCACACTTAACTGACCGCAGGTGGCTTCTTTGCTTGAGTACATGTGAGCTATGGCAGGGTTTCATTTCCCTTTCCATTCTTAGCCCAGCTTTGCTTGCCTCTGTGATCCTTGCTGGCTCTAAATGGAACACAGCAGTCCTTTTCACAGCAGGTCTGGGCATTTCTGGTTCCAAAGTCACAAGTGAAATCTAAGAAGAGGGAAGAAGACAGCTAGCTGAGTGTCTTACTCTGTGCTAGGGTCTATGATAGGCATCAGGACACAGAACCCAATTCAGAAAAGCCTCAGCTTGCAGGTACATCCACGGACTCCTGGGTGCTGTAAGGTAACTGGCTTAATTCCTTCTTCTCTCTGGATTTTGATGGTTGTGGACCTTTCTGCAACACAAGTAACCTTTAGTTGCCCTTTAGCCAGCAACATACTATTCAGACTCTATATGGGAAAAACACCTGGCTGGTGGTTAACCCCTCTTCCCCAGCTCAAATCTCAGACTAGCCTGTTAAGTTTTACTTGGGTTTATCAGTCACATGATTTTTCTCTTAGTTGATTAGTGCAGTTTATCATCACAAAAGCAATTTATGAAAGTCTATCAATGCATAATATGAAAAACTGCACATAAAAATGGGCTAAGGATGGGGAAATGACTTGGTGACCTTAACTCAATCCCTGCTACCCACACAAAAAGCCAGATATGAGACCTGGCATGGTGGTTCATATCTTTAATCCCAGCACTCAGCAGAAGCAAGAGGATCGCTGTGATTTTGAAGCCACCTACATAGTGAGGCCATCCTACATAGTGAATTCCATGACAGGGCTACATAGTGAGATCCAATGAAATAAAAAATAGAAAAGATAGTTGTGATGTGATGGTACAAGTGTGTAACACCAGCACTCTGATGGCTCAAAAAACTCTCAGACCAGTGCACAGCCTAGTGTCAGAAATAACCCAAGAGACCTTGCCTTAAAAGCAAGGTGGAAAGAGAAAACTAACATCCTGAAAAGCTGTCCTCTGGCCTCTGCATGGGTACTGGGGCACACTTGTACACACACATACACCATGTACCCCTTTTTGTTTTGCTGGAACTTTTGCTAACCAATTCCAGTCCTGTCCTCTCTAGCTTCCCAGAGTATGTCAACCCAATAGTCATATTTCAAGTACAGGGACACTCAAGGTGGTTCCTTGAGTTCCAAGTTCTTCCTTTGGGGATCTTGGGAAATACTGTGTCAAAGATATGTCCCAAACCACATTTGCAAGGCTGCGCTCCTCTGGACACCAGTGCTCAGAAATGTTTTCTGAAGACAGAACTCTGAGCTCAGATAAGTTGAGGGAAATGCTACATGCTTTCTGTTCTGTTTCTAGTATCACATTTGACACAAGCACAGAGAGGACTCTGGGAGATCCTTAAAGTAGAAAACTCGGTTTCACTTTGTTACTGTTTTCAATACTTATTTGACTTAAACTACTGTTTTCCCCCTGTGGAATGCCTCGAATATTTCTCAGAATTACTGTCCCACAGAACAGGAAACAGGTCAGCCAGCTTTAAACATTCTTTAAAGATGTGTTGTTAAATCTGGGAGCCACTGACTAGTGGTGTCCAAATCAAGATGGGCTATGAGTGTAAGGTATATATAAGATCTAAAATATCAATGATGCTTTAAAATGCATTTATTTTTATTGCACGTGCATGGATGTTTTGCCTGCATCTATGTTGCCCTAGTATCGTTGAAGAGGTCAGAACAGAATACTGGATCCCCTGGAACTGAGGAGTTACGGATGGTTGTGAGCTGACATGGGGATTCTGTGAACTGAACCTCTGCAAGAACAAGAAGTGCTTTTGACTGCTGAGCCAGCCTCCAGCCCTAAAATGTCAATAATTTTTGCATTGATTACATGTTAGAATAACAACATTTTTTTAAAAATTGGGTTTAAAATGTTATTAACATTAATTTCATTAACATGGATTCTGAACTACACTACAAATCTTGGAGCAAAGACTGTGTCTGGGAAAGAGTCAGAGTTGAACCCATGGTCCAGGCTGCTACTTGGAGATGGGTAGATGAAAGCTGTTGATTGTGGCTCTGAATATGAAAGCTGTGATTGGGAACCAGAAATCTGTGGGAAGGGAAGATGCTAAATTCAGAACAACTCCGAGTTCCAGAAATATGAGAGGTACTCAAACGGCCATGCTCAAGCTAAAGTGGATAGCCTGGTCTAGGATGTGAGAGATAGTTATGGGTAGAGTTGAAAAGGAGCTGTCTCCTCTAGGTGGCCCATCTACAAAGTGGAGGTGTAATCTTCTCAAGGCTAGTGAGCTGATGAGATGACATAACAGGTAACACTCAGAAGGTGCTTGGGAAATGCTAACTGCTTCAGATAGTTTCACCACCAGTTCCCACATGGCCAGTATGATGGTTCATCTCAGTTGTTTTCTTAGGAGATCTAGAACTCATTTAGAGACAGTCCTCTGGACTTGCCTGGAAGAGATTATCTTGATTGGTTAACTGAGTTGGGAAAATTCACCCATTGTGAGTGGTACCATTATCTGGGATGGGATCCTGGACAATATAAAATGGAGAAAAAGATAAACATGAGCATTCCTCTCCTCTGCTTTTCGACTGCTGATGTGTGTCCAGCTGCCTTGCCCTTTTGCTACCAGTACTTCCCTGCTATTATGGACCACACCATCTAACTGTGAGCCACACCACCACAAAACCCTTTCTCCCTTAAATTGCTTTTGTCAGGGTCTATTTTCATAATAGGAAAAGTAACTAATACAGCTACAATCTTTTCACTAATGTCTTCACAGCCAGTGGCCTCTTCCAGTGCCTATGGGATCCACACTTATGTTCTGAAGTCTCCAGTGCAGGCAGAGAGAGATGTTTCTGGAAGAAGTTGTAGGGAATGAGGAGAGAAGGCTGCTTTGTCCCAAGGAGTGGGTGAATAGCTAGGGCAGGCAGTCTACTGTACACACTGCTCCCCCTAGCCCTGCTAGCAACACCATCAGTAAACCTTGCCTCATTCTAAACCTTACCCTTTGTGCTGCTCAAGGGGGAATTGGCTAGCTGGCCCTTGCCAGTTTCTGTCCTTACCATCTTTTCCCTTCCAGAAAGCTGCTCGCTTGCTTTCTCTTGACCCACAAAAGACATCACTTCCTTGAAGACTTGGCTCACGTTAAGCCTCCTGGCAGCTCCTTCCTGAGGCAGAGGGCCAAAATCCTGACAAGATTAAGATGAGGTTTTGGAACTGGGCCAAGCTGGAAAAACAGGAAAGATGACGAACCAAGCTGCCTCCTTCTGGGGATTGTTTGTTCCAGTGTTCCCTCAAATGAGTTCTGTGGGCACTTTGAAACCCTTGACATTTTACCCAGTGCACGCCTCCGGCCTTTTCCTGCCCCTGCCCTCCAGCACATATCTAGTTATAGTGATTGTTGGATGTATTCACTCCTAGAACCACTTTGCTAACTGCCTCCAATCCTAGAAATCAGGAAGCACACATATCTTGAGTGAGTGTTTACCATGTTTGATAGGAGGATACTGTCTTCTAGAACAAGCCCCCTTCAGCTTCTTAAGGTAAGGAATGCTCTTCTTTGCTGCCATGCAAAAGGAGGCTCAGGGTGACTCCCTAAGGTCCCCAGCATGTTAGGGTAGCAGCCACAAATGAGGAGGGTTAGAAGACAGAAAGGTGATTTATCAGTTCAGGGCAGGGGCTTGCCTGGTGGATGAGGGTTTCTGCTGTGATTTCTGACTCTACCACTTACTGTCCCAGGAATGTGGGCGAGTTCTTAACAGGAGCAGTGTAGGGGGGCATTTCAGAGCACAGGCCATAGAGTCAAATATCAGTTCTGACATCTGCTAGCTATGTGACCTTGGTCAGTTTCCTTTGCCTCTCTGAACTTTGGTTTCTACGGCTATAAAGCAGTGTAATAATAGCGCCTACCTCATCAACTTGTTGCAAGGATTAAATGTGATAATCCATGAAGAGCACTTAGCACGCTGTCTGGCTCATGGTCCAGTGCCATCTATGTCAGTTATGGGATGAATGTGGGCCTAGCCGACTTTGGCCACCACCTGTTTCCCCGCCTGTCACCCTGGTGACTCGCTCAGCCCTTGGCACATGGTAGGTATTCACTGCCTTGGCCACTGAAGGAGTGGCTAGAAAATGACTCTGTTTCTGAAAACAGGCTTCAGGCAAATGTGTAGGAGTAGATTCTGGAGGAGGAGGATTTTCAAGAGTTTCCCAACCAACAAGCAAGTAATTACTTTTTGCATGCTAGTATAAACTTGAAAATATTTCCAGATGGGAAATACCCATTGGATCCATATGCCACACCCATTTCCGACTGTAGCCTATCAAGCAGAAACATACCTGAATTCATACCTATAGAAGCATACTATATTCACTGAGCTATTTACACAAACCTAAAAGCAGTTTAAGGTCTTAAGTAACCCTAATTCAAAAGGTTGGAGGATTGCATATCTGATTCATGCCCTTTTAAACATTTTCCATGCCACTCCCCCCCCCCCCCCCCCCCCCCATACTCACTTTTTAGCTCATTGTGTACTTGGTACTTCGGCTCACTCACCATCCGTACCTTAGGATAGGCCCCCGTGGGACAGACCACAGAATTCACAGAACACTTAAGCAGCAGTTAAAATTTCACAGTATGGATGACTCATTCATTCAACATACACTTAGCATTTGGGGCTTGGGAAACTGGAAATGACGAACCAAAGTACTACCTAGGTTCAAAGTGAGATTTAGAGTGAGATCTGAGACTGAATCAGCAAATGACCTTATTTGCCAAATGGTTCCATATCTGTTCACCAAGCCTCAGTGAGAGGACAGGGTGAGTAATACAGCCCCGATTACCACGAAAGTAGTGTTTTTGCTGCATAATTCCTTATATGTAGGGAATCGAACAGAGGAGCCAGACAGGCTGTGGGGCCAGTCACTTCCCTATTGTGATCCCCATGTTCCTCATTTGAAGAGTGGAGAGGATCTTTTTGCTTTGAAAGGCACACTTTCTCCACTCATTCATTCACAGAAGGTGGTATTTCCTAAGGGATGGATTGCTATGTGTTGTGGCTCTCTAGGAGAAGGAGAAAAAAAAAAGAATTTGGGTCATTTGGTAGATTGTATTATTGTTCAGCAAACATTTACTTCACCCTAGCCTTCCCCACTTTAAGAGGAATATACTTCCTCACGCTGTTAATACTGGATTTAGCCTTGTGACTTGCTTAGGTCAAAAGAATATGTGTGGAAGTGACAGCAGCCAGCTTCAAGCCACTGAGTGTTTCCCTTTCCACCTCTTGAGCAATTGTCCTTGGCCATGAAAACGCCAGGCATCAGGGAGTCCTTCAGCTGGACATAGAATGAACAGACATGTGAAGTGACTGTGCATGACCCAAAGCTTGGAGCCCAGCCCGACCCAGCTGACCCACCGACTCCTGGGGGAGAAATGAATGTTCATTGTCATGTGCACTGAGTTTCTGGGAGTTTAACAGTTTTTATTTGTTATTGATGCTTGAAGTTTCATTATGATCCACTCAGGATAGTTAGCATATCCCTTACCTCACATTTTTTGTTATTGTTGTTGTTTTGGTAGGAATATTAAAAATCTTTTCTTCTCCTCCTGTGTGTGTGTGTGTGTGTGTGTGTGTGTGTGTGTGAGAGAGAGAGAGAGAGAGAGAGAGAGAGAGAGAGCCAGATATCAACTTTGCATGTGAGTACTCAGGAACCTTCCATTTTGTTTTCATTTTTAAATTAAATTAAGTATCCATTATTATTTTGTGTGTATGCATAATGTGGGGGGGCATGTGTGCCATAGCTCATGTATGGAGGTCTGAGGACAGCTCTATGGATTTACTTCTCTCCTTTTACCTTTATGTGGGTTCTGAGGATGGAATGCAGGTCTTCAACTTGTATGCAAACTCTTTACTAACTGGGTCCTCACCTAACAATTTTGAAATATAAGTTATGATTTATTATAGTAACCTATAGCAACCCTATAGTAGCGAGGATTCTTTCTTTCTTTCCAAACCCAGTTTTACATCTGTTAGCCAACTTTTCTTCTCTCCTTCATTCCTCTGGAAGTTGATTTTATGCAATACCATAACTACAAAATCAGACCAGTGTGAATCTTTAGCTGTCCTGACACAGACTGTAGCTTGGATCCTGGGGAAGAATTTCCTATTTAGATGACAGTCTGACCTAACAGCTGAGTGTTTAAAAGGGGCTGGTGCTGTGGCCAACATAGGGGAGAAGTGGTCTATGACGTAGGGAGGAGCTACATATACATTGCTTTTGGAGTTGGGGGAAACTCCACCTGGATTTTGGTGGATGAAGGGAAATGAGGTCTGAGCCCTAGCCTGGCCTCATAACCTCCACAGAAACATCACATGCATCCCCTCCCAGACATTCCTCAGGCACTCATTCACAACGCCAGCTCCAAAGCTGAACTTCCAGACCTGTTTTTCCTCTTCCTTTCCCTTCCCAGTCAGTGAGTGACACCACCATCTGCCTATCTAATTGCCCAGACTAGAAAGCTGCACTCCTCATTCTTTTTCCCCCTCCCTTCCCCTTCTCTCAGCCCACATCATCTGTTTCCAACTCTTGCCAACACAAGCCAGTCCTTTTCTATTTGACTACCCCAGTTGAAGTCGTTGTCCTTTCTTGCCAAGACATGGCAGGAGCCAGCTCCCTGGCCCCCTGACCCCCTGACTCCCTGGCCTTTGCTTCTTTGTTTGTCTTTGTGGATAGTTGTTTTTGTTTTTGTTTTTTCAAGACAAGGTTTCTTTGTGTAGCCTTGACTGTCCAGGAACTAGCTATATAGACCAGGTTGGCCTTGAATTCAAGGATCTACTTGCCTCTACTTCCTGAGTGCTGGGATTAAAGGCGTGTACCACCATGCCCAGCAATGGTGCATGTCTTTAATCCCAGCACTCAGAGGGTGGATCTCTATGAGTTTGAGGCCAGCCTGGTCTACACAGCTAGTTTCAGGCAATCCAGGGTTACATAGAGAACCTGTCAAAAAAATGAATTTTTATCCCCTTTCAATGGGTAGAGCATCAGAAATTGTAAACAATCCAGAATCCATAATTGATATTTAAATTTTCAATTTAGGATTATGTTGTTTTAACTATTGATTGTTTATTTTTACAGTACAGAGACTAAATTTAGGCCTTGTGGATTTAGGTAATTATTCTACCACTGCTCTCCATCTCTGTCACTGGTTCTTGTGGTTTTTGGGTCAGTCTCACTAAGGCGTGTGCAACCACCGCCAGGCAAGAACTCGATTTTTATTTTATTTTTTCCAAGAAATTTTTTTTTATTAGTTCAAATTAGAAACAAGCCTGCTTCACATGTCAATCCCTGCTCCTTCTCCCACCCCTCCTCCCCCAATCTCCACCAACTTCCCACCCCATCTCCCCTCTGCTCCCCAGGGAGGGTAGGGCCCTCCATGGGGGATCCCCAAAGTCTGTCATATCATCCTGGGCAAGGCCTAGGCCCTCCCTGAGGTGTCCAGTCTGACAGAGCATCCCTCCACATGGGATGGGCCAGGGATAAATACTGATCTACTACCAGAGGCCCCACAGAGTGCTGAGGCCTCCTCACTGACATCCATGTTCAGGGGTCTGGATCTGTCCCATGCTGGCCTCCCAGACATCAGTGTGGGGTGTATGTGTTCTCCCTTGTTCAGATCAGCTGTTTCTGTGGGTTTCACCAGCCCTATCTTGAGCTCTTTGCTCATCACTCCACACTCTCTGCAACTGGGTTCCAGAGTTCAGTTCAGTGTTTAGCTATGGGTGTCTGCCTCTGCTTCCATCAGCCACTGGATGAAGGCTCTAGGATAGCATATAAGGTAGTCATCAGTCTCTTTATAGGGGAAGGGCATTTAGGGTAGCCTCTCCACTATTGCTTAGATTGCCAGTTGGTGTCATCCTTGTAGATCTCTGGAAATCTCCCTAGTGCCAGATCTCTCCTTGAACTGATAATGGCTCCCTCTATTATGGTATTTCTCATCCTGCACTCCTCTGTTCTTCCCCCACCCCCACTCAATCTTCCTGCTCCCCCATTTCCTCCTCTCCCCTCCTCTTCTCTCCCTCTCTTTCTCCCAGCTCCTTCTTCCCTGCCCCCATGCTCCCAATTAGCCCAGGAGATCCTGTCCCCTTCCCCTTCTCCTAGGGACCATGCTTTCTAAGCAACCTAGATGCCCCTCAGCTGAAGAATGAATAAAGAAAATATGGTACATTTACACAATGGCATACTACTCAGCAGAAAAAAAACAATGGAATCTTGAAATTCGCAGGCAAATGGATGGAACTAGAAGAAACCATCCTGAGTGGGGTAACCCAGTCACAAAAAGACAAACATGGTATGTACTCACTCACATATGAATTTTAGACATAGAACAAAGGATTACCAGCCTACAATCCAGATAAACTTTGGAAGAAGAAAGAGGAATCTCTCACATGACTGCATTTAACCTGGGTTTATTTAGAGTAAATATTTACCACAAGACAACATGGGCCCTGGAGATAGAAATTAAATCCAATTACAGAAAAAAATT